GCCGCGCCGACCAGGCAGAGTCGTGGCTCCTCTGGAGGGGCTGTTGGAAGCCCCACGGTGGCTGCAGCAGGAGGGCAGAGCCAGCACCTTCGCTGGCACTCGGAGTGCCTGGCTCTGGGAGCCGCAGCCGCTCAGCTGAGCTCCGACACTGGGGCTGGGGCAGCGGGGTCGCTGATGCCCACGTCCAGCCCCGCTTCGGGCTCGATTAACTGGGACTCTTGTGCTTCCTTGTAGGATTGAATCCAGCGACCTCCCTTTGCTGGCAGCTGTAGCGAGCACTCACTCTCCGTACGTTGCCCAGATCCTACTTTAAAATGCCAGAGGCTGTAGACGTTGACTTTTTTTCCCTTCTGGAAACAAAGTGGAAGACGACTTGGTCTGGCTCCTTTCTCTTTGAAGCAACTCAAACAAACGGCTCGTTGAGCTGCGGCATCTCCATATATGACCGCGCGTCGTGCAAACAGTCAGGAGACTTTTCCTCTCCCACGTGGCCATTTATAAAAAAGGATAAAGAAAGGAAAAAAAAAAAAAGAAAAAGAAAACTGAGCAAGCCTGTGATTTCACCCACAGAAAAGCAAAGATTTTAGCAAAAGCGGAACATGTGCTTTTTTTTTATCTATCAGTTTCTGCCGCAGCGGCTAACTGTAATTTATACCAGGGAGCATGAGGAAGAACTGCTTTGAGAAATAGATGATGCTCTCGCCAGTTATTGTAAACAGAACAAGAGAAGGCAGCAGCTGGCTCCAGGACTGGCTCCTCCTGATGAGGATCTCGCTAAGATCCGTAATTCTCGAGCTGCGATGATTTGTAAACAACTTCTACTTTTTCACGCCATAGTCAAGTTCTGGATACTTCCCAGAGAAAGAACGGGGGTTGGGGGTTGGTTTGTTTTGTAAAAAGCTTGTTAATGACACTCAGCTCCAAAATTTATTTATGATTTTTCTCCTGGAGAGAGGGAGTAGCAGGGAGCGGAGCAGGGGGCACAGGGAGGAGCGGGGAAGAGGCCAGCAGACAAACTCGCGATGGAGATTCTCTTTCCTGGCCGGATGCTGTAACCAGTATTAAATGTTTATAATGTTTAAATGTTGCTTTATACTAAGTGATGCTTTTCTTCCATGATGGAATCAAAATGTTAAAAAAAAAACAAAACAAAAAGAAGGAAACTAAAGAGAACGTTGGCTGACATTTCCCCAGGGGGTCCCCAGAGTGACAGGACTATTACCTCTAACTTTTTTTATGGTCTATAACACAATTGCGACATCATGTTCTTTTTACAGCAGCCAGTCAGCTATTGAAATAATGAGCTAGAAATAATTGTACCAAAGCATCGGGGGAAAAAAATGAGGAGACTATTACCCTTAATCGCTCAGGTAACTAACTGATATATTTTTTAAAACCGTTCTACAGAAAATGAACATTGGTTACACCGTAGGATAGGAATACCAAAATTATTTTTTGACAGATACACCCTTGAGGCAGATGACTCTAATCCCTTTTCTACTCACTTGTGTAATTAGCAGCAGGAAACGTTGTTTATTTTATTCTCAGCATTTCTCCTTTACCCGACCATCGCGGTTTTGTCCTCGTATGTGCAGCAGTTGTACGAACAGCTGATGGACTCCGTCTGGTGTAAGTCATGTAAATACGCAGCGGTAGGTGGATTTTGTTTTCAAAGGCTCTACTACCTCAGTTTAACTGGACACTTCGTTAGAGGCTTTTCTTTGCGTATCTGTCCTGGCAGCCAAGTCATGTTGCTGGTTTTAGGTTCCGTTCCCATCGATGACGTTCAGCACGTCGGCAGTCACGGATTAGCCACAGGAGTGGGAGATGCGCGTTCCCTCGGTCGCTAAACTTGATAAACAGTTCTATAAATAATGCCCTTCTGTCGTCATCTTCTCAACAGCGCTGCATCCCTGCTATTGTTGTTCGCGGGGTTGTTTTAAATACGAGTCTATTTTAACGATTTGATAAACCTGAAAACAATAGGAGAGATCCCTGGCTGCCGCTGTCAGCAACAAAACTCTCCTCCCTTCCTTTGCTGGGGCCAGGATTTCACCTGGAGTGTTTTTTGCTGTAATATTTAAAATCTGTAACCTCCGACTCCGTTCCAGGGAAGATCGAGGCGGCAAACCCACGGCCCTTTCCATTAGCGCTGAGCCTGGGTTAGTAAATGAACTGGGCGTTCGTGCGGGCAGCGACATCTGAAAGTCTTTTGTGTATAAAATGGGACGCTGACTGCTGCAGGGAAGAAACGCGGGTTTAGTGTGTGACCTAAGGATCCGTTTTCCCCCGTTCTTCAAAGTGTCCTTTCCCCGCCAGGCAGTTACGTTACATCTGGCTTGTGGAACGAGCACGGAGCGTAGGGGCCCAGTTGCGTAAGCGCGTTTTTAATGGAATATAGGATCGAGCTCGGAATGTGAAATTTTTAACTCTTTGCTACGGTCCCTCACGTAGCCGAGAGTTGCGATTCTGAACGTCGAGCCCGGATTTGCAGCTGCAGCCCCACGGCGTTGGCGCCACTGGGCTTGGCCGTGCCGGGGGCTGGCACCGGGAAATCACCGCCATCTCCTCCCTTCAGCTGTGGTCAGGAGAGTTGTGGGTGGTGTCTGGGAACGGGTTTGGCCCTTGGGAAAAAGGCCTTCGTGCAGCTGGAAATCAGTATTAGTGGGAGAAGGAGAGGAGAGAGGTGTCGGCTGCGGCGTCCTCATCGCCCGCCCGGGCAGTGCGGCGGGCAAACCCCCGGAGCGATGGGAAGAACCTCTGTCAGTTAACTTTTAGGGTACGTGAACCATGTGGTACGGCCGTCTATTTGTGAAATAATACAAAAAGGGATCTTTTACAGGGCTACAGCAGTGACTTTTTAATCGCGATTATTTTCATGTGAATAGAAAACTAATGACTGATTTATTTTTTTTTTCCTACTGTTACCGCTCTCCATTAACATGTCTTAATTTTCTGGCTGAAGACTACGCGTACTAGGCACACCAATTAGCAAATTGGTTTTCGTTGCGATTGGCAAACACCGGGCTGCTAAGAAGAACAAAAAAATATTTAAAAGAAAGAATTTTACACCTTGCGTATGTTTTCCCCATTAGTTGTTATAGACGTTTTATGACAATTTTTTGCTTTCTCTAAATTATTTAGATGGTGGTACTTGTAAAATGCTGGGTAAAATGTACATACTTGTTATCTCTTCTGTTTTTGTATATATTTCCCAAGATGTGCACTTGTATTATAATAACCATTCCCAATTTTAGGGGAAATTTGTGCAATAAATACAGTATGTCAGTTTACTTCTGGTACGTTTTTTGTGTCCGTTTCTTTTGGGATCTCTTTAGGAATTGGTCGTTTCCAGCAGGGATTCCTGTTTGTACTCACTGTCACATCAGTTGTGGATGTCGTTGGCCCCAGAAAAGCAGGAGGGGAAGATGAGAATGTGGTTCTGAGCATCTTGTGCTGGGGCTGGGCGTCGGGTGAGGAGAACAAGCGTGTGCGTGAAGCCGCTCGTCCCTACATCCCTTCCCAAACGTACCTGCAAAGCAGTTCCTCACGCTGGGAGAGTGTGTGTAATTCCTTTCCCACAAGTTGGCGTGTTTGTGCCCATCTACCCAGTGACGATTCCTTCTCTGTCTCTCCGGGTTGCTGCGCAGGAATAAAGGCTCTTGAAGTCTTTGTGAGGTTTGGTTAAGTAACAGTTCAAGTTATGATACAGTGCTGGCAACAAAAGTGAAGTGATAATTGTGTGCCAGGAAAACAGAGCCTGGGGAGATGTAGCAGAGTGTACACAGGGCGGCTTTTAGAGCATTCAGATTAATGCAGGTCCTATAGTTTTGAACTAAATAATCAGCAAAGTTTGAGGCCTTTACCTGAAGTAGCTGCAGCCTCTATTTCTGATAAGCTTTTCCGATGGTTGACTCTCCCAGTAGAGACCTTCCCCCGGTGCCCTCACCGCACACGAGCTGTGGGACTGGCCCCGGCCTTGTCCTGCTTCTGGGCAGGAGCCTCCACGGATCCCTGGGCAGGAGGGCACAGCCCGGCGCTTTCCAGGATCCCCACCTCACCTGCCAAGTCCCCTTCTGTAAAAAGCTATTTTTGTTTCACCTCTAGGAGCAGCCTCACGAGTGTTTAACCTGGTCCCGTGTTTAACCTGGTCCTGCCACGGACCGGCGAGCTCTCCCTCCCAGCAGAGGTTTGCTCCGACTCTGTTGAACGGCTTGCTGGGGGTGGTGTAAAAACATTCAGCAGAGAATCGATTGCCTTTTAACAAGGACAGCGTAAGGGTTCATGGCCCAGGTTGTGCTGGGTTCAAAGGGCAGAGCTGGCGCCGATCCCACAGCAGCACTGGAGCTCCGCAGCGGCAGCAGCGAGGTGGGTTCCGGCAGGATCAGCCTCGGCCGGTGCTGCAGACCAGGAGGGAGACCTCGATTCGGGCTGCGGGTGAGGGAGGCTTGTGCCCCGCAGCTTCACCCTCACCGTGGAGCCTCCAGCAGCATTTCGCGGGGTGGGC